CTTTTTGAGTCACAGTCTCACTTTGTCACCCAAGCTGGAGTGCAGTGGCACGATCACAGTCACCTCAGCCTCAACCTGCTGGGCTCAGGCAATCCCTTTGTCTCAGTAAGTAACTGGAACCACAGGTACACGCCACCATGCCTGGCTAATTTTTTTTTAATTGTAGAGATGAGGTCTTGACAAGTTGCCCTGTCTAATCTTGAACCCCTGGGCTCAGGCAATCCTCTTGCCTCTGCCTTCCAGAACGCTGGGATTACAGGCCTGACTAGGTAACAATTCCTTATACTCAGCTTATGGTGCTTTATATTAAATTCCATCTGGTGAACTCACTGGTATGGTTTCTGTCTCCTGAGTTGGGGAGGAAGAGACAGGAGATAGGGAAGGGACGTGTCCACCCAGGGTGCATTAATGAGCAGGCACTGCTGTGGGCAACTGGGGCTCCATCTCACCTTAAGAGACAAGGCAGAACATCTTCAGATTGTCCCAGCAGGAGGTGAGGAGGCTGAGCTATCCATCCACCTGCTCCCATCCTCCTCAGTTGAGGGTGGCCCTAGGCATGGATGTCCTGGTGCCTCCAGTCTGCTCCACACAAGGTCTGGGGCATCTCTGCAGCTGGGCAGAGAGACAGAACGGCATTTGGTTTGCGTGGAAGCAGTCTGCAGGTGACCTCCAGGCATGTGGAGGAGACAGAGTTCAGAGGCTGACAAACGTGGTCTCAGAAGGGCCAGACTGTAGGCTGTGCAGTCTCTGTTATAACTACCCAACTCTGTCTTAGCATGAAAGCGGCCACAGACAATACAACAGTAATAGGCATGACCGTTGCCAACAAAACGGTATTTTCTTTATTTTTTTGAGTCAGGGTTTCATTCCGTTGCCCAGGTTGGAGTGCAGTGGCACAATCATGGCTCATTGCAGCCTCAATCTCTTGGGCTCTGGCAATCCTTCTGCCTCAGCCTCCTGAGTAGCTGGGACTACACATGTACCCCACTGCACCTGGCTATTTTGAAAAATTTTTTGTAGACATGAGGTCCTGCTATGTTGCCCAGGCTGGTCTCAAACTCCTGGGCTCAAGTGATTCTCCCACCTTAGCCTCCCAAAGTGCTGGAACTCCAAGTAGGCACCACTGCATCTGGCTAATTAAAATTTTTTTTTTTTTTTTGTAGAGATGAGGTCTTGGTATGTTGCCCAGACTGGTCTTGAATTCCTGGACTCAAGTGATCCTCCCACCTTAGCCTCCCAAAGTGCTGGAACTCCAGGCAGGCACCACCACATCTGGCTAACTTTTTTATTTTTTGTCGAGATGAAGTCTCGGTATGTTGCCCAGGCTGGTCTCAAATTCCTAGCCTTATGTAAGTCTCCTGTCTCAGCCTCCCAAAGTGCTGGAATTACAAGCATGAGCTGCCATGCCTAGCCTGTGTTTTCAAAAGCAGGCAGTGTGCTAGGTTTGGTCATGTGCTGTAGTCTGCAGACTCCCTGACACAGAGGATGCACTAGCAGGGTCTACTATAAAATTCAACCTCCATATCAGAAGTCACCTCTAACCTGGCCTTTCTACTTGTCTCTGCCTTCCATCTTCATTTTGGAAAATTCCATTCAGTTCTTTCCTTGACTTGGAGCTTTTATTATAAGGAAGGATCTTCAAGCAGTCATTACTACCAAGTTTATTCTAACATTTTCTTTCTTTCTTTCTTTCTTTCTTTCTTTCTTTCTTTCTTTCTTTCTTTCTTTCTTTCTTTCTTTCTTTCTTTCGTTGGGGTCTCACTCTGTTCTGGAGTGCAGTGGTTCAACCATGGCTCACCTCAGTCTTGCTTTTTTTTGTTTTTGTTTTTCTGAGTTGGAGTCTCACTCTGTTACCCAGGCTGGAGGGCAGTGGCATGCTCCCGGCCACCACAGCCTTGGCTTGCTGGACTTCAGCGATCCTTCCGCCTCAGCCTTTCAAGTAGCCAGAATTACAGGTACGCGCTACCACATCCAGCTAATCACCTCAGTCTTGATCTCTTGGACTCAAGCAATCCTTCTGCCTCAGCCTTCCCAGTAACTGGGACTACAGGTGTGCACCACCACACTTGGCTAATTTAAACAATTTTTTAGAGCCTAGGTTACCCAGGCTTTTCTCATTCTCCTGGACTCAAGCAATCCTGTCACCTCAGTCTCCCAAGTTGATGGGATTACAGGCATGAGCCACTGTGCTCAGCCTATCCTGACATCTTTCTATCACAGGTTTGTGGTTGAGACATTGCTGGTGAATGAAATCACCCCAAAGCTCCCATGGCACTTGGTACATTGATTGTGAAGGGTGTCATTTAGGAACTTTGACTTGTATAGTGCTCAACTCCATTTTCTCAGGCTTAAAAGCAAACAAAGGCCATGAAAAGCCACACTCACTTATGTCGTATTCAAAGAAACAGGGTTTGTGGGTGGAGATTTATTCTCTTAAAAGACACATCCCTGGTCAGTAATTCCACTTCACACCTATCCTCGCCATTCACACCTGCCCTTTCACCTGTGTGGCTTGTGTTCCTGTGACCAGGAGCTTACCTGATGGCTTAAACCTGTCACCCACGGCCAGTCAGTTGTCCCAGGATATGGAGCCGGAAGAGAAGAAGACAAGTTTTAGCCTCTGTCCCCGCTGGAGTAGCCCAAGGGATGTACTCTTAGATTCAGAAGGACATCTCTGAGGGTAGTATATTGAGGTAAGACATCCCATGTTGGGAGGGAGAGAGGGAGGGCTGGCCTGAAACCTTTTTGGTGGAAATTGGTGACAGTTGAAATTTGACCTAAGGAACTGTCAGCCTCATTTGGTGGAAATTCTAAGAGCTGAGATTACTAATCACCTTCCCACCCCACCCATCCTAGCCTTGCAGGTCTGAGCACTAGGAATTTAGAAGCACACCTTCTCCACCTCCTTGGGATGCATGAATGTCTCACCATGAGTTCATTTTATTCCTAACTTCATAGATAGTGACTCTCTTTTAAGTTCTAAGAGAAAAACAAAGCTAGCAGGTTGACTTGGAGAATTTACTCCAGGTCAGTCTTTGATTCCAGATCCCTTATACATCCTGAGCCAAATTCAGCCAGAGTCTTTTTTTTTGGTAACCCAAGGAAAGTGTTCAACTGAATGCACAATAGATGAATGGGAACAACTCCAAGTACTAGTTGATTAGTCATTTGAGAGGCAAAGAGGGGATGTTGCTTTTGGTAGCTCTAAGTGCCTGTGTCCCTTATGCTGGTGCTAATGTTCTTGGGAAGTTGATTAAGGCATCAGGAGACCATGGGTGGGCATGGACCAAGACCATTGGCAGAGGGTGGTGTTTCAATACACTCAGTCAGTGGATGGCTCCCTCAGTGCATGGGCCTGTCTCCCTGATAGATTCAGCTCTTTGGGGACTGGAATTCTCCTTTCTACACCAGTTTTCTATATTTTCCTACCCTGAATGCTGCCAGACATTGTCTTTAACTTCGGTCACCTTGACTCTACATTTTTCTGAGTTTCCATGTGCTAAATGCCCTCCTTCCTACCCCTTCTTTCTGTTGACTCATTCCTTCTCTGGAGACTGAGAACCACCCTGCTAACTACACCCAAATCATCTACATTGGCCCTGGAGACATTCTATGCTGAAATTATTCCGAGCTCCCAGAATGTTAAGGATCCCTTACTCTCTCCCATAACCACTGTCCATAATCTTTGCATTTTGTTTTTTAGAAATTTCTCTCAAATTTTAGTCTTTGCATTTAAAGACCTACTTTGGCTGTGAGCTCATCAATTCCCCTTATTCAGCATTTCTTTATCTCGCAGTGTATTTTATTTTATTTTTTAGAGAGAAGGTCTCTCTATTTTGCCCAGGCTGGTCTCAAACTCCAGGGCTCCAGCCTCCCAAAGTGCTGGGATTACAGGTGTGAGCCACTGCATTCTGTCTCTTAATATAAAATGCTTGGCTATGTGTTCTGAAGGTTTTATACTGTGTGATTTTCATATAATCACTGCAACCAATGAATGCATTGATCACATGAAAACCACTCATTAATTTATAAGCAATATTAACAATGACATAGAGTAGTAACTCATAAGGATTTTATCATTTTTTAAAACTAAATATTTTGGAAATCAATCTTTGAACCTAAGTATTGGAAAGAAGTGTCTCAGTATCACAAGATCAGACTTTGGAACTTACACCCTCCAACACTCTCCATGGTAGAGACTCTAATGCTCACAAAGTATTCCACTGATCACGATCATCCTACATTTCCCAGTTGCTCTGCATTTAGCAAGGTCATTGACCATTAACTGACCAGTGGGTAGCAGTTAAAAGTGGCATGTATATCTCCTTCAGGCTAAACACAGAAGAGTGGAGGAGTTTCATGGGTTCTCTTCTGCACGGTGATTGTAGTAGGGACTATAAACCATAAGACTGAGCTTCCTGGATCCCTGAATCACATTGAAATTTGTGTGGATGATAAAAAATCTTTGTTGTATGAGACCACTGAGATTTTGAGGCTGTTTGTTAGTATAATATAACTTAGTCATTCTAGCTTTACTAATATATTTTAGAATGGTGTTTCTAAAAGACTTTGGCCATGATTCACAATAAAAAAAATGTATTTTACATGGTGAGCTAGAACACTCACCCAGACACACACACACACACACACACACACACACACACACACACACACACACACACACACCAGAAACAAATATTCAGGAAAAAATACTTATCCTTAATATGCATGATCTATTCTATTCTACTGTTCGCTATTCTATTTTATTTTATAAAAAGATGACTTCCTAAATTGATTTTACAAACCACTAATGGAAGTAACTAGAGTTTTAAAAATACAGTGGTAGATTATAAGTTGTGTATGATTTAGTTGCTACTTATAAGTCTTTCATGCTTATTTACTAAACCAGACTTTTTAGATCTCTCTCTGGTAGCTTTTTATTTTCTGTCCTTAGATTGAATGGAAGTATTTTCACATAACATATAGCACATCCCACAAAATTTCTGGAAGTTAATGTTTTATTGTTGAACTTCCTAATTTACAACATGTCTTTTGAAATTTGCTTATAAAATTTTGTCACAGGGAGCAACAATGTTAACCTGATGAATCCTTATTCACTTATTTTCATTTTTTAAAATAAATGACTATAAATAACTTTCTCCTGTGAGGATCAGGAATATCATAAAAACATCACTTGCTAGACATATTATAGTGTTAAGACTGGTGCAAAAAATTAAATAGAGACCAAGTATTTATATATAGCACTATATATATTTTTATATACTGTATACTCATATCAAAACTTGTCATTTCTATGAAGAAGCTGATAAGTTACTTTCTAATTTCATAAATTATACCACAACTGTGAAAATATGGACAACTATTTTGTATTTTTGCTGCTATATAAGACATTTAATGTTTATACAGAAAGCTGCAAAATTACAGAGGTGACAGAATGGGAACTGATGAACATTTTCACCTGAATTTCCACCGGCTTTTTCTTCAGCCAGAATCATCTTGATAATCTCTGAATATTCTTTTAGAGATGAAGATGGTGCATGTTTCTTCAATAAATACACATACACACACTTTAGGTATATGTGTGTATATACATTTATACAAGTGTATATATATACACATATATACACACATGTATATAGTCTACATATGTATATATATTTCTGTGTGCACTTGTACACACATGCACACATAATGTCCTTTGGTTTATTTTCAGACCATTAATGTGAAATGAATTTTCAATGATTCCATTTATTTATTTTTCTTTAAATCTAAACTGGTTTAAAAAGATCCTTGCAACAAGTAATAAATTTCTTTTATAAAATCATATGATTACACTTTAAAGCATGATATACAGAGGGTCACACGGTGTTAGAGAAGACAGAAGTTCATGCCAATATGGGGGAGAAAAGAAAGAAAATGGGGTTTCTGAACTTCTTTCTTAAAGTGGCCACCTGCTGGGTTTATATAAAGGAGCCCAGGCTGAGTGACATGCTCCCACAGGAAGGGAGGGACGGGAAGGGAGGGACAGACCCAAGAGTGGTTGAAGAACAATTATTTCTTGGGAATGAGTGTGCTTTGGGATTGGGGAAGAGATGCCAATCCTTGGGTGGGTGACCAAGTGACAAAGGGTAACTTTGGAAATGAAGTGGTGTCTTTTGGGATGGACGACTATAACATTTTGGGTTGTGTGTCAAATGTTCTCACGGATTTCGTGCCAAGATGGTCATGATGTGCCTTCCTAACTGAGGCTCCTCTGGGATGACAGGCATGGCCCTGTGCTGGTGGAAGGGCTCCTCATCTCACAAGTGGACAGCCATGCCAAGATGGCGCTCCTACCTCCAAATATGCCCCTTCCTCTGTCACATGCTCTTCCCAATTGGAGGCCTTTTCCCACCACACAAGTGACATCACCACATGAGGGAGTATGGTATTTCTCTCCAATTACATGTTTTGGAAATCAAAGTCCACGTGTGTGTGTAAAGCTGTCAAAAAAAATACTCCCCTCGTCTCTCATTCACATCAGATAAAGAGGCCTCAACGTGGCTTAGAAAAACCAGAGAGATACTCTCACCAGATGTATTTCCAGACTTGTGGTCATTTTGTTTCTCTGTTGGATAGCTAGGTGGGAAGTCCCAGAAAATTGGGGCTGGGATGAACTCTATACAAACTGAGAGGCATCTGGGCTGCACTAGCAGAATTGAACTTGACTTAGAGCAGCAGCTGGTGAGAGCAGGGCCATTGCTCTGTAGGTTTCGTATTCACCACGCTGGCTGAGGAGAGGGGCTCTTGATCTTGGTGTTGGTGGTAAAACATTCAAGACTTTCTTTTTTCCACCAGTAACTAGGGTTCCCTACGGACGGCATCTTTCTTTGTGGTGTTTTTGTTTGTGTTTTAGAGATGAGGTCTTGTTATATTATCCAGGTTGGTCTCGAAATCCTGGGTTTAAGCAATCCTCCCCCCTTGGCCTCCCAAAGTGTTGGGATTACAGGCGTGAGCCACTGCACTTAGCCAGGATGGCATCTTCCAAATCATGCCACCTTAACCTATGTCCTTAGAAAACCTTGCTGAATTTGAAACACCGTTCCCCAAAGAATTTCCAGCATCTCCTGTGCTTTCAGAGATGGAAAGCTCCCCCTAAGTCTTCGGCTTTGATTTTCTTGTTACGCGACCACTCCTGAGTTGAGGTCATGGATCAACGTTCTTGGAGTCACCATGTGTGACTTTTCAAATGCATTCTCTTCTTTCCTCAGAAATGAAAAAGAAAATTGAGGGGGAAAGATGTCCCAGTTTTGTTTGCAGGATATCACCCCTTGGAAGGACAGAAATAAGGAATGTAGAGTCACACACAGGACACAGATGTTGGTGGGAACACTATATTTGGGGCACAGAGTAAAAAAGATGGTTTCCATGGTAATGAAAATAATCATTGATGGTGAGCAAAGCTTCAGATGGAGAAGACAGAACTGCTTGGATAGGTGATAGTAATTGCTGGGTGGCTGCCAGAACTGAGGGGCGAGGACAGAGACTGAGCCAGGGCAGGAGGGCACAGGGGGCGACTGTGGGCATTAGTTCTTGCTGAGGATGCTCTTGAGACTTCTCTCCACGGCTTCATCCAGCTCCTCCTCCAGCTCCTCCTTCTTGGACATGGCCAGCTTGGACTGGTAATCCCTCACCACCTGGTCGATGTAGGGGGCACTCTGTGTGCCATGCAGCATCAGGGTCCACTCCTTCAGCACCCCCTTCTGGGGGGCGCTGCCCACAAACCCCAGCTCCAGGGTCCAGGTTCCTCGGGCATCTTCCCCCCACGTGTGAGTGGTCATGAAAGGCCACTTGTCGAAGCCCACCTTAGAGTCGTCATCCCTGGGACGCCGGCTCAGCAGAATGGACTTGGTGCCCATAGGGGACGTCATGTTGATGTTTAGATCTCCTCTCCTGGTTGCATTGACTGTGATGACAGCCTGGACGTGCTCGAGGTAGCGGACGAAGTTTTCCTTCCCCTCACAGGCGTCGGTTGTGAGTGTCAGCACCAACTTGCCAGTGGATGGTATTTTCCTGAGGGCAAAGTGAGGGGGAGACAGGGTGAGGGATGGTGGACACATCCTATGAGGGGTTGTAAAGGCAGTTTCAGGAAACAGAAGGAGCAGGACCTTGGGGTCAGTCAATTAGACAGACCTGGGTTTAATGCCCACACTGGCTGTTTCCCACAGCCTGAGCAAGTTCCTTATGCTTGATACCTCCCGTGTAGATGGGGAATTAGCAAACGTTGTTAATGCCCCTCCCACGTCTCCTAAATTGCCTCTGCATTCGCTTGCAGCTACAGCTTACCTGCACAGCTTACCTCCCCGCTCAGGCACAGGCATCTCCCAGCTTTTTCCCTGGGGGCTCAGCCTATGTGCAGGGCTGTACCTCGGTTTCCCTGTTCCTCAGCGGGACAACCCAGCGTCCCCGGTGGAACTGAGCCTAGCTGTCCCGGTGGCAACCTGCTCATGAAGGCACTCTTTATTGGTTTTTTCTCCTTCTCTGTCTCACATCTCCACGTCCTCACTTGTGTTGCCTGGGATCGTCTCTTGAAACACTATTGGGACCCAAGCCCTGTCTCAGGGTCGACTTTTGGGGCAACCTCATATGGAGATAAGAGCTCATCATGCTTTTCTTTTAAAGCCCTAAGTACCTTGATCAATAGAAGCTACTGCTAATATGACTCATTGTGACCATTAAAAAAAGGTGAACTTGAGTTCATTAATTCCAGTGAAAGACAGTCCTAGGAAAGATTAGGAGACTTTGGGGGTCTCTTTGGCCACAGAGTTGGAACCCCTTGGGGCTCAGCCTAAGCATTCCCTAAGCTGTTCTTACAGTCAATCTCCTTTCTAGAGATGGTCTCCTTTGAATGTGAGAAGCTCAAAGGTTCTTGCACTGGAAACCTAATGTGGGGAAACTACATTTGAAGATTGCATGGCATCACTGAAACACTCCAAACTTTGGGAATAAGCCTATTTGGATTAGAATTCTGCTTCTGTGCTTACTGCTCATGAGAGCTTGGGCAAATTATTTCAGTCCTTGATGTCTCACTGTCACTGTACGTTAAACAAGACCATGTATAAAAAACACCAAGCACAATGCCTGGCATGTGGTATGAGGTTCCTTTCCCTGGTTCCTTTCCTATGCTAATATCCTTCTCCAACATGGCTTTTGTTTTGGAGCATAAAGTCGTGGATATTTTAGAGCACACATCTTAAAAAGTACATCTACAAAAAGACATCCATTGTACACCCAGCTCGGGGCCAAGCCTTGGTTCTGTGTTGCCCTTGGAACCAGGGCCATGAAGGAGGGCTTGCTGAAGCTTACATTGCTGCTTGTTAATAAAGGCAGTCTTCTCCAGTGGAATTTTATGAATATGTACTTAAGTGGTTTCATGGAGTGCTGCTGTGTCCCCTCATGCCCAGATGCTGATGTTGAATGATGTTGGTGGTGGTGTCCTTCTGTTTCTAGACTCTGAGGAAACCGTGCAATTTGGTGGAGAGCAGGCTGACTTTGGAGGTTGAGTATAGAGGGTCATGACTTGGATCTCTCAGAGAAGATGCTATTGATTCCAGACAGGATCAAAAACAGAACAGCTGAGGTGATACATGACTAAAGATAGTTTGGGCTCTCACCTACAGATAGACAGCTGTGTGGGGTAGCATAAAGAGTTTCAGACTAAAGGTTTAGTTGTGAACAAGTATTTGAATGGTTCAAGCCTCATTTTCCTTACCTGTACAATGGGGATGTTAATTCCTACCTTGAAGAGTTGTTGTGAAGATAATATATATAATCTTTATATATTATATAAATATATATACTATATAAAAATATATATATTATAAATAGATATGAGGTAACAAAAATGTATACACATTTTAAGAGATGTTATCTATGTATGACTTTTCAAAGTTGAATTAAATTATGATAGCAATGTGTAGTATGATGTTTGCTCAACTGTACTTCCACCATTTTCTTTGACTGTCCTGCCTGTCACATGGTGACACTAACATTCATTTGATTAAAGCCATCTTTTGCCGGGCTCTGTGGCTCAGCCTGTAATCCTGCGCCTTGGGAGGTTGAGGTGAACAGATTGCCTGAACCCGTGGGTTTGAGACCCGCCTGGGCAACTTGGCAAGACCTCATCTCTACAATAAATCAAAAATCAGATGGGCGTGGTAGCGTGCGCCTATAATTCTGGCTACTCGGAAGGCTGAGGCGGAAGGATCGCTGGAGCCCAGTAGTCGAGGCTGCGGTGGGCAGGAGCGGCCACTGCACTCCAGTCTGGGTGACAGAGTGAGACTCCAACTCAAAAAAAAAACCAAACCATCTTTTGAGTGAATGTCACACTTAAAATGTGTATACATTATTTTGGGATGCCCTGTATATAGTTATATCCATTCTCAGACTTGCTTCTAGGCAATCCAACCTAAAACACATGATATATATCTCTAGAGAAGAGCACCTGGAAATTAGTAACCAAACCCAGTGTGCAGTGTCTGAGGCCTGTTGACTATATTCATGTCATTGTTGGCATTACGGAATAAGAGTCTCCTTCCATCTTGTGGACTCAATCACTCTCACTTCTGCTTTCTTTAAAAAGTCCTGGAGAAGTTGTAGTGATAGACCTAGGCTGGGGACTCCTTCTACATTCAGGGCATGACAGAGGAGCCTGGGATTCCAGTCCCAGGAAGTAGCCTTGCTGGTAGACCCATGAGGGCAGGTGCATCCTTTTCTGGCTGTGCTGCATGTTAGTCTTCCATGGCAGTTGTCTTTCCTGTTTTCCCAGGTCACAGGGAAGGAATGAGAGACAAAGACAAACAGAGAGGAAATGATGGCAAGGTTGACAAGGGGACGCCAGGACAGGTCACCTACTGCCCAGTCTAAGGGTTTTACTTGGGAATGAAGCCGTGCATTTGTGACAGAGGGAGGGATAAATGGAGAGATGTGAAAAGAAATATTGGAATTTGACAATTCACCGTGCAAAGCTGAAAGACAGCTTGGAGTGGGCACAAACACACAAACCCGTGTTAAGAATCACACATTTTCCTAGAAGACTTGGATGCTGGGCTGGGTGAGTTGTCTCATGCCTGTAACCCCAGCACTTTGGGAGGCCTAGGTGGGGGGACTGCTTGAGGCCAGGAGTTTGAGACCAGCTTGGACAACATAGCAAATCTTTGTCTCTACAAATTAAAAAAAAATTTACTGGGTGTAATGGCATGTGTTTTGTGTCCTAGCTACTTGGGAGGCTGAGGCAGAAGGATTGCCTGAGCCCAGGAGGTCAAGTCTTCTGTAAACTGTGATTGTGCCACTGCACTCCAGCCTGGACAACAGAGTGAGACTCTGACAAAAAAAAACCTCTTGGATGTAGTGCTGAGTGCAGGGGTCAGAGGCCACGTCAGGCATCCCTAGGAAACCTGACTTGTTTAGTACCATAAAGGAACTGCCTACTAGAAAATCTCCCTGACCCCCTGCCTTGCTATGTGAACTCCTTACTGCACAGGAGCTGGTTCCCTGAGAGTGGAATATGTTCCCATGAAATTAAATTAAAAGCCTGTAATGTATTCCAGAGGTCACAAGCTTGAAAGAGAAAGGAGAACAATGTCCCCTCCTCTCACAGGTAGGGTTTTCAGCCGGCATCATGGCACCGAAAAGCCTAGAAACAGTATCTGCCAGGTGTTTCTAATTTCTCATTTCTTTTTGCTCATTTATATTTTCTCACTTTCTTGCAATGACCATATATTACTTTTATAAGAAGAAAATGAATGACACATCTTATTCTTTTAAAAGAAAAAGAAGATGTATGAACAGCCAATTTATATGAAGATTAAATAGGAGATGGCTGTTTGTGGAACAAGAGGAGGCTCTGCTGAGAAACTTAAAACAGACACAGGGTGTTCGTTGGCTCCCAGGACACGTTCTGGAACTCTCTGACCACAGGAAAATGAGGTGTGCATGGAGAGGCTTAAGAGTTCCTCTCTGACCTTTAAGAGATGATGTGTGCAAGCCTGGTGTTCAAGTTCTAAGGAAAGATGAACTTGGGCACCTGGGAGTGGCTCATATCTTCTATGCTAATACTATACAAATACTGTTCGTGTTATGAATCCTCCACTGTATGAGAAAGTTATGAAGCTGTGCTCATGTTGTTAAAATTGTCGCAATAGTAAGAATAACAGCCATTCATTTGCAAGCGCCCAGAATGCTTGCTTGTGTGGTGGTCTGAAGGCACATTTAGCAGGTGGCTGAAGTTTTTCTCTTGCCTGTGTCAGAGTTACGCAGGAAGAGGAGCTGGCACAGAGCCGAGCACACACTCTCTTCTTGCTCCCATGCTGCTTCTGGCAATTGTATCAGGGTTTTTGTTTTTTGTTTTCAGCAGGGTCTCATTCTGTGGCCCAGGCTGGAGTGACTGGCAAGATCACAGATCACCGTAGTCTTGACCTCCCGGGCTCAAGCCATCCTTCCACCTCAGCCTCCTCATTAGTTGGAACTACAAGCGTGTGCCACCATGCCCAGCTAATTTTCTGAATTATTTTGTGGAGTAAGGTCTCACTATGTTGCCCAGGCTGTTCTCAAACTCCTGGGCTCGAGCGATCCCTTCTGGGCTCAAGTGATCCTCCTACCTCAGCCTTTCAAAGTGCTGGGATCACAGGTATGAGCCATGGCACCTGGCCAGTTTTAAAGTTGATTTCCAATTCATGGAAAGTCGGAGCTGGATCACACCTTGTGCTATAGCCATTTTGTAGCCAAGTGAGCAGTCCCCATAGGGCGCACGGAAAAGCTGGGGGGCGGCTGTGCCGAGCAGGTCCCTCTGTGCTGGCCGAGGGACAGGCCTATGCTGCTCTGCTCATTCCACACAGCAGGTGGAGCTGGACACAGCCAGGTGTGGTTTTCCCTTTGATTTTAGTCCAGCACCGTTCACTGACCCTCCTGATAAAGTCTTTTTGGAAAATTGCTTTTCAAATTGACTTCTTCTCTAGGAAGATTAATGCTTGAGGAAACCCACAAAGCTGACAACTGTCACTCACTGCACCTTG